CATGCAGTATGCACGAAAAATGCGGCCAAATATGCATGAAAATATGCACGGATTTTTTTATCAGAGATCCTTGTTACAAGCAACCATAACCGATTTCTTTAGTTTTTCAAAGAGAAATGAGTTCCCGTTGTCTGGCACTATCGCCCTATACTGCGGGAAAGAAAGCTCCTCTTCGCATGGTACCAGAGCCAACTGAGCTCTCTAGAGTGTTCGGCGGCAGTCTACATCTCAAGTCAGAGGTTGCACGGCGTTGACGGTTGCACGCCGCCTACCAACTTCGGCAGTCAGAGCTGAGGCTCCCTGGAATCATCTGAAGGTACTTCATTAGGAGGGTTTTCGACAGATTTTGCTCTGGCTTGTGAGAACCGACGGGTGCTCTAGTGGTTAGCGCGTTTGTCACTTCTGGTGCAAACGTGCGTTCCACTTCGTGAAATGCCGCAACGTCGCCGCTCGATCGGGAGGTGGCGTGGGTTCGATCCCTGTTGTCGACAAAATATTCCTTACGGAAAGGCAGGTACTCGGCCTTGATCCTCCTGGGTACATTCGCTCTATGGATCCGTCCTCGGAAGCAATGTGAACAACAGTACACAGGACGTTAAACCTCGGCTGTGTGGTCCAGCCCGAAAAAGTTTTCCTGGCTCGTGAGGAGAAGTCGACATGCTCTCGACTTGAGATTGAGAACTCATATATGGGAGCTCATAAGACGGAATTATATAAAAATTCACGAAAATTCAGAAATCGGCGAAATATGCAGTATGCATAAAAATATGCTTTATGCGTGATGCACAGCCCTAGTAATTACCGTAAATCTTCTATTAGAAGCCCGGGCTTCTATTTTTTCCGAGTGCCTTCTCAGAGGGGCTTGTATTAGAGAGGGGCTTCTATAGGAGGGGGGCTTATAAATACTCGAACCGCAGAACCCTGACGATCGAGTAATAGAGAACTGCCGATGCTTTGAGATAGGAGAGAGATCTCGTCCATTCTTCGAGATGCACAGCTCTCCTGAGCCTTAGCCGAGCGCTACTGTGACCGCATGAGATATCAAACGAAGTTATTAGTCTGAGAAGCGACGTTTGCGTGTCTAGACACACAACAGTGTGAAACGAGAGTCTCCCGTAATCGTTGTGCATAGATTGACGTTTCGACTCGGGTGACGTCGGTGCTCTCTCGGCTCGCCACGATGAGGGGAAAATCTTCCGGAATAGCACGTTTACGTGCGATCTCGGACGGAAGAGGGGCTACTATTAGAGAGATGAGCTTCTATTGGAGAGGGGCTTCTATATTTACGAACCTTCCCGAGGGGGGGCCTGTATTGGGGAGGGGCTACTATTAGTAACAGGGCTCCTAATAGAAGATTTACGGTAAGCGATGATGATCTCAATTAAGCTGGGATTGTAGTTGATTGGTATGGGAAGTCAACAACATTTCCCATGCTATCGCTGGGGATCGGTGGTATGAGCTCATAATTGGTTCGGGAATTGAAAACCATGCATGTTGTGATCGCAATGATCAGCGCGAGTGCGAGTATTGCACTGCCGATGGCGAGGGCCATGTGCAACAATTGATCAGAGTTGCCGTCGTCTGGCTTCTTCTCAGGATGAAATCCCTCTTTGAATGCTAGCCAGATCGATTCGCCTCCAATGGGCGGTAGATTCGGTCTGAGACAGGCTGTGCTGTCATTGGCTTCTTCCGTGCAAGATGAGTCGGGAGGTGTGCATCGTCTCAGGAAATTGATTGGATTTTTCTCAACGATGCAGCTGATGTTTTTCGTTGTACATTCGGTTGGACAGTCGTCGTAAGTGAAATAGTTCGGGGTCGCTAACGAGAGTGATGTCAAGAGCATCACGATCATCATTGTTTTGGAGACCATTTTCTTAGACCGATCAGATTTCGAAGATTCTCAAATATCGGTTTGGCTGGTGCCTTCGTCAGAAGGTCAGCTAATTGCTTCTAAGTTTGTATATATTCGAATCTGTGAGTTGTTTGTTTTCGTGAGTCTCTCGAATGAACATGTAGCGGACGTCAATGTGTTTGGTCCGTTTGTGGAACTGCGGATTTTGGATGAGTTTTGTGGAATATGGAAGGGGGGAACACGGCAGTCTTGAATTGTCGAACGGCGCCTTCTCGGAATTGAGTTTGGATGCCCGAGGATGAGCAAGTGAGATCACGTCTTGCTTCCCTGACGGTCACGTCACAATCTGTTTGTTTATTAAACGTTACGACGACAAAGCGTCGAGAGAGTTCATCCCTTCCCGCCGCTATGATCACAAGATTTTTGACACTGCCTCCCTGGAACAGAATGTTGCAGGACGATTAAATTATCAGCGGTATTCAGTCGGCCGCAGGTATATCGTCGGTCGAGTCGGGGACCTCAAGAGGAACAAGGACCTGAGCGGCTCGAGTACTCTCGAAGCCATTTGAGAAGCGAACCGAATATGTTCGCAGAGCGCCGTCCCGGCCAGGATGGCCTCGGAGAATGCGCATCAGATTCCACTTGGATCGTGGAACGCCGTTTTCCTTGAGCAAACAAATCGAATTGTCACTTAGGGGCCAACACCTTCCCTTCCGATCAAGATTTGCCGAGCGTAACAGTAAAATGTATTCCGTATGCCAACGAGTCGATAGAGACTGAAAGTAGTTCGTCCTCTGCAGTAGTGATTTGCGAACTTTTCAGCCTCGGGCGGGGCGTCCAGAACCGAACCATTCGGTCCGAGGCTGTCCAGAGAAGTGAGGGTGCACAAGGGTGACGACGGAGGGCCGCCGTGGAGGAAGTGCGCCGGAGTGGTGGCTCGAAGCTCGGCGGGCTCGTCGCAAGTGTAGGTGAGAGGCCGATTGTTGATAACGGCCGATAATTCGCACAGGATTGTTCGGAGTTCTTCCGAACCGATCAAGCACCGACCCAGCGTTTTCGTGAGGCACCGCTTGGTCACGCCAACGAGGCGCTCAAAAAGCCCGCCTCGCCACGGCGCTCGAGGACAATTGAAATCCCATTCAATTCGCCGCTGAGCAAGCAATTCGCGAACTTGCGGGTTGCTGAAGGAGGTGAAGAGTCGACGGATATCGGCCGATGCGCGGACGAAGGACCGGCCATTGTCGGATATGAATTTGCGGCAAGAAGGATGATCTGCCAGGAATCTGCGCAGAGCGAGATGTGTTTGCAGGGCGCCCATGTCGGGCACCAATTCCAGTTTGATAGCACGGATACTGGTACAAGAGAAGAGCGCGATGTAGTTCTTGCAGGTCCCTTCTCGAGATCGGGTGGTGAACGGCCCACAGAAATCGAGCCCGGTTACAGCGAAGGGGGCACTGAATGAGGCTCGCTCAGGCGGTAGAGGAGCTTGGACCTGATCAGCAGTGTGTCCGTGGACTCGATTGCACACGACGCAATTTCTGAGAAGCCTCTTAATCACCTGTCGACCCCGAAGTATCCAGTAACGACGTTTTAACTCGTTAAGAATCGCGCTCACTCCAACATGCGCATTAACTCTGTGGTGGTGAAGTATGAGAAGAGTTGCTAGTCGACTCTCGCCCGGGATGATAATTGGAGTTTGTTCATCGTAGGTGAAATTTGAACTTAACGTCAGTCTGGACTGAGCGCGAAGGAGTCCATTTTGGTCCAGAAGCAGGCGATACGAGTGTAACTTTGAGGACCGTGTGGGTCGTTCCTGCGCGAGCGTTGCACGGATTTCTGCCGGGAAGTATGAATGTTGCGTTGATCTGATTACGAGTAGCTCAGACTGCGCACGGAGCTCTGAGTCCGAAACGAGGGCCTGTCGGCGACAGCGCCGAACGAACCTTAGCACATTCGTCATCACTCTGATCGACCCCTCCCAACTGCCGACACGATTCAGATCAACCAGTGCAGGCTTCACGGCCACGGGTGCGACTACGAGGCGTAGCTCTGAACTAATAGAACTTGCCACGTCGCTACCAGCCCGCAGGCGCTTCACCGGAGGGCGATCCTCCGATTCGTACAACCAGTGGGGAGCCGCAAACCATTCGACGTTTGCGGCCAGATAACTGGCAGAGAGACCTCGCGACGCGATATCCGCAATGTTGTGTTTCCCCTCAACGTGAACCCATTCGCTCGACGACGTGAGCTCCCTGATCTCAGTTACCCGATTGCAGACCCAGGTTTTCCTCCTTGTAGGCTCCTCTGCAATGCACCAGTAGAAGGTAACGGCGGAGTCGGTGTAATGTGTTATCTTGTCGAGCCTCGCCTCTAGCCTCCCTGTTATGAAAGCTCTGAGGCGGGCACCCAGCAGGGCGGCCAGCGATTCGAGCCGGGGCAGCGACACCCTCTCCTTAGGAGCAACCCGCGACTTGGACATCAAAAGTGCGCAGCTGCTGCCTCCGTCAAGGTACAAGGTTTGGAGGTAAGCGGCGGCGGCGTACGCCCGCTCGCTGGCGTCGCCGAAGACGTGCAGCTGGTAGCCGGCAATCTCCTTAGCCGGATTTCCATACACGCGTGGGACCGGATGCCTCGAAACCTCACCTGACCATTTAGTGAAATCATCGAGCAGAGACCCGGACAGCGGATCGTCCCAACGCAATGTCTTCGACCACAACTGCTGGATCAGGAGCTTCCCCCGGAGGGTAAAGGGAATGAGCCATCCCACGGGATCGAAGATCGACGCGACCACCCGAAGCACGTGTCGTTTCGTAATCGCCTTCGCGGTAGTCGTTAACTCGACAATGTCTGATAGCCGAAATTGGAAGAGATCATCTGTGGGTTTCCAGGCGATGCCAAGGACCTTCAGCAGTCCAGTCTCCACCAGGCCTTAAGACAGAGATGACGAGGAAAGCCGGCGATTAAGGTGATCGATGACGGCCTGCGAGCTACACTTCCACTTGCCGAGGGTCATGCTAGCCAATCGCATCCACGGAATTAGCCGATCGATGAACTCAATCGCCCCTGCGTCGGAATCGAAGCTTCGGAGGAAGTCGTCGAAATAGAAGGAGCTTCCCAAATCGTAGCATGATGTCGGATCGATGCGCCGAAAATGCTCACGAAGCACGGCGGCCAATAGGAACCCACTGGGCGTAGCCCCCCAAGGGACCTTACGGAACTGGAAACATCGGACCCGCGTGTAATTCATAGATACGACGCCGGGATCGAGCGGTCTCAAGATCTACTGATTTATTCTCGTCATACCGAAACCACTCTTCGTGTTGACAGATATTCAAATGAGCGCAGCGCGGGCGTTCGAGCCCATAACATGCCCTTCCTCTCCTTGACCTACAAATATACAATTCTGGTCTATACTAGCTGAGAGACACTGCACGCTGGAGACTGTTCTGCGCCCGACTGCACACCCGACTATCTTGTCTTCTGACACTCTCACAATGTGTTGTCTGTATTGTCATGTATTTCGCTCTCTTCTGCTGCTTTAAATTATTAAATGATATGATTGACTTTTCTCCGATCTGAGTGGTTCGACTCAACCTTTGAGTCTACTCTTGGTTCTCGATTCCAACTGATGGCGGCGTCAGGCGGAGGAATATCCTGTTCCGCTCCAGCTTTGTTCCATTGTCTGAAACGACTCGATAACGGCGCCTGCCCTCCGCTTTTTCGATCCTCGCTTTCTGCCATTCCTTCTTGTGACCTTCTGGCTGTATCCTCACGTTGTCCCCGGCTTTGAGTGGCTGAAGATTACGTGTGCCCTTGTCGTAGTAGAGTTTTGCCTGATCTCGGCGCTTGCGAATCATTTGTTCAATTCCTTGTGGGATTTCTTGAATGAGATCCTGCGGCCGACACGGGAGAGCTGTGCGAGCTTTTCGGCAGAGAAACTTCTGCGCGGGAGGGCATCCATCGCTTTGAGGTGTATTACGCCATTCTAGTAATGCTTGCTCGAAATCCTCCCCAGCGGTTTCAACTTTCTTGAGGAGCCGCTTTGCAGCCTTTACGGCAGACTCAGCTTTCCCGTTAGCTTGATGGTTGTGGGGTTCGCTGACCTTGTGTTGGATGCCCCAGTTCCGGCAAAATGACTTGAACTCGTGACTTAAATATCGCGGGTCGCTATCTGTTCGCAGTTGCTTCGGCTGTCCGAAGTATGCGAAGAGTCTCTTGCACACGTTAATGATCTTGGCCGTGGTAGATGAATGCCCGAGCTTAGCGACGTCGAAGAAATCGCTGTATCCGTCGACCGTGACCAGATACATGCAATTGTGCCAGTCGAACAGATCTTGATGTACTATCTCGAACGGGTGCCGGGGAATCTCTCCTGGGATGAGAGGTTCGTTTCGTTGTTTGATGTTGTGCGTCTGGCATGCTTCGCAGTTTTCTGCCATAACCTTCACGTCGTTGTTCAGGCCTGGCCAGAAGAGAGCTCCCCTGACCCTTCTCAGCATCGCGCTCAGCGCGAGATGAGGTCTGTGGAGGCGTTTCAAGAAATCCGATCGCAGAGCGTGTGGTATGAAACAAGCTTGATTATGAAATACCAGTCCGCTGTCTTGGAACAATTCGCTCCGAAACGGCTTGAAAATCGTCAGATCTGAATCTTCCCATTTGTTCGTCTTTACAGCTTCGAGAAGTTTACCTGCTTGCGCGTCCGTTGACATCGCGACTCGGATTTCCTGCAGTGTCTTGTCGGAGACTTGTGGAGACGCTTCGTTCTTGGCCGTTTCAATTTCGATTCGGAGGACCCACTCTTGGCTCTCCGAGTCCGGCTCTGCCGTGTGGATCGGCGCTCGGCTGAGGGCGTCAGCCACGAGATTCTTGCAGCCTGTGATGTAGCCCACGGGATGTCGTATCTCTGCAGAGCCAGTCTCATTCGCTGCAGTCTTTTGGGACATTCATCGAGTGTTTTCTCGAAGATTCTGGAGAGTGGTTTGTGATCGGATAGCACGCGGATGTTGGCCCTACCAAAGAGAAGGTGATCGAATTTGAGACATGCCGAAACAATAGCGAGGCATTCCTTCTCCAGAGCCGAATAACCTCTCTCAGCCTGAGATAGCGTGTGCGAGTGGTAGGCGACTGCTCTCCTGTCCTGCAGCATCACAGCTCCGACCCCGTAATCTGAAGCGCCTGTGTGGATGACGATATCCTTTTGCGGATCGTAGATCGCCAGGGTCGGCGCCTCGGCGAGCATTTCTTTAACTTTTTCGAATGCCTTTTGCTGTGACTCCATCCAAACGAACTGATTCGATTTTTTAACAACTTCCCGAAGAGGCAGTGTGATGTCAGCGAAGTTGGGAATGAAGGCGAGGAGATAATTGGCCAGTCCAAGGAACCTCATTACTGCCTTGGGATCTGCGGGTGTTCTCATGTCCAAGATCGCCTTAATCTTTTCAGGGTCTGCCTTCACTCCCTCGTTCGAGATGATATGCCCAAGGTATCGAACAGCCCTTCTACCGAGCTGCAGTTTCTTCTTGTTAAGTTTCAGCCCCGTCTCTCTTGCGCGCTGGAAGAGGGCCCTTAGGTTTTCGTCGTGATCCTTCTTCGCTTCTTCCTCAGAGTCGCCTACTCCGAATATGATGGCGTCGTCTGCCACAACAAGGACGTTTCGTAGTCCCTCGTAGGCTTGTACTTGTCTAAGCTGGTATTCTTCGGGTGCGGAGCTGATGCCTTGCGGCGTTCTCAGATATTTGAATCTTCCGATTGGGGTCCAAAAACAAGTCAGAGCGGTGGAGTCAGGATGTAGTTTCATTTGGTAGAATCCATCCTTGGCATCCACAAAGCTGAAGATTTTCGCTTTTGCCAGTAGTGGCAGGTGGTCATCCAGCGTTGGCATAGGATATCGAGGGCGAATGATGGCTTTGTTCAAATGAACCGGATCCAGAGTGATTCTTATTGAACCGTCGGCTTTTGGGACCGCGACGAGATTGGAGATCCACGGAGTGGGTACTTTTACGTGCTGGATGATTCCGTCTCTTTCCATTTGTCGAATCTTCGCTATCAAGGCTTCCCGGATAACTATCGGCGTTCTTCGTGGTGCTTGCTGCGTTGGAGCTACAGACGGATCCAGTTCGAGCTTGACATCTTCAGCGAATTTTCCTAGTCCGCGAAAAATGTCAGAGTATTCCCTCAGGAGATGCTCGTAATCATGATCTTTGCTCTCAGAGATTCCATAGGTGCGCTCGACATTTGCGTGGAATTTGACAACTCCGATCGCCTCTGCCCACACTCCCGAAAGGAGCGTTTCAAGCCGTCTTTCGAATACTACGAATGGCAGATCGAATCTCCTGTTTTCGAAACTGCATGTCACCACGCACGAGCCGATGGAGTGCGCCACGGATCCGTCGTACATGTTGACTTTTGTCTGGTCTTCTGTTTTTAGATTTCCGGTTGCGCCCAGTTTCTTCATTCTTGCGAACGTCGATTTGCTCATACAGTTGCACGTTGCTCCGGTGTCTATCTGAGCCTTCAAACGTCCTTTTCTTTCGGTGGTGAACTGCACGTAGAACCTTTTCTTCGGCTCGCGGCTCTCGTTTTCCGTTTTCCAAGCGTACTCTTCTTCACTAGTTTCTTGCTGGCCGTCATCGTTCAGCTGGTGTGCCCGCTCGACAGATCGGCACACACTTTCGAAATGATTTTTTCGGCCACATTTCTTGCATTTGATTCCAAATGCGGGACATTTCCTGGGCGCATGTTTGCCGCCGCAGAATCCGCAGTTCCTGATGTCTTCTCTAGGCTTTTTGTCGTGCCATTGAGGTCTTTGTTTCAGGGCGTTCACGTTTTCCTCGGCTCCGCTTCTCTCGATTTCACCGAGGGCTTTCTGATTATCTTCGTACAGCCTCAATCGCGACAATACTTGTTCCAAGGAGAAGTCTTCTGACTCCTTGAATATTGAAGCGCGAGCTTCCGTCAGATTCGTGCCCAGAACCAGTTGGTCTCGAATCATCATGGAAGTTGTTTTGCTGTCATAGTGGCATCTTCTAGCGAGCTCCGTGACTCGGGCGAAGAAATCCGCAACTGTTTCGCCGGTCGCTTGGATCGCCTTCCGGAGGATGTATCTCCGGTGGATTGTGTTCTCTTGCTTTGCGAATCGTTGGTCGAGAATCACCAACATTGCTCGGAGCGATGAGCATGGTTCCACGCCTAACGCGTCAGCCTTGTCATTCTCGAGCACTGCGCCCAGGCTGAGGTTACGTAAAAGCTCTCTGTTGGCTTCACCGAGTGCGACGCGGAAACTTGCTATCTGGAAAGCCGGCTCTTTTTTGCAGATACCCTCTAGTAGGCTGTAATCGGCCCAGCTTTCTTTGAAGGTATTCCACCTGTCTTGATCTTCTTCGCCAGCCACCACTTCCAATGGCGCGGGCCGGTTCTTACTGCTGTTTTCTCTGTTGTCCATTTCTCTTTCTTTCACGATTACACGCGAACGTCTGCTTTTCGATGTTCTTTATCTCCTTCAGGCACTTTTCACTGTCTTTTACTTTGAGTTTGCGACTGCGCCATGTGATTCATAGATACGACGCCGGGATCGAGCGGTCTCAAGATCTACTGATTTATTTTCGTCATACCGAAACCACTCTTCGTGTTGACAGATATTCAAATGAGCGCAGCGCGGGCGTTCGAGCCCATAACACCGCGTCTCCCCAGGTCGCTGCCATAAGTAGCGGAAGAAGGGACGATCCTCGGTGACGAGGCTGATTGTCATGTACGCCTGAGCAATGTCAGCCGATAGGGCCACCGGTCTAAGTCGAAAGTTGAGCAAGAGCCGAAGAATGTCGGGGTTCAAGTTTGGCCCTGCGATGAGAGGGGAGTTGAGCGAAGATTCGCCCGGCGACGAGGCCGAAGCGTCGAAGACAATTCGCCACTTGTCCCCAGTGGCCCTTCTGGTGACGACTTGACGGTGAGGCATGTAGAATTCCCGGCTGCGAGCACTAGGGGCGGTGAGGTCGACATCAAGAATTTCTTCAACATGGCCAGCCTTGAAGAACGCCATAACTTCCTCATCGTATCGTTTGAGAGATTCGGGGTCGCGTGACAAAGCACGACGCTTGGCCG